AAAAAGGGCGCATGTTGCGCAGTGGTGGTAAGTGCCCTGAAAGTCGGCAAATTGGTACTAGACTTGTCTGGAAAGATAGCAGCACTGGCTCGATACATCGGTAGGCCACCGCGAGCCATTGTAAAGGCCAGATATGCGTTCAATCAACTCCAAACGATGCTTAATGAAGTTTAGGGATTGATCAACGCGGAGAGCTTTTTTCTACTTACATAATAAATCTCATGCTGTCAGATAGCAGTCGATTTTAATAAAAATTTTGAACTGTCAATGCTGTCTTTTTCTTTTTTACTGCCATCCAGTTTAGTTTGAAATTCTAATTATTTTGGTTGTATAATATTTTCAACTATATATTCCTTGTCAAATAAGTTACTCAGTCGATATTTTTGCTGTTATTTATTGCTTAGCGTCCAAACAAAATAAATATCAAACAACAAAACAAACAATGAACATTGTTTATCACCACGAGCGCGGTGCTGGTTCAATCATTGTCCGGGCTCATCAAGCCTCTCATCCATCCGGTGTCGAGAAATTGGTACCGGAGTTCTCCGGCAAAGAATCACTTCTCTGTAATCCAAATGATTACGCTCTATCTCGGCTATCTCATGACACCAAAGAAAATCGACTCGACAAGCATTCAGCAAGATTTAAGATGGAAAGAATATCCTCACAACAGCAGCAGAGGCAACACGTAAAAAATTGGATGACCTTCGTAGACGATGGATGTGAGTTAAATTTGAGAAGTGCTGGACTCCACACAGTAGATGTGAAAGTGGAGTCGTATGAAAACAAAAATAAAAATAACCATTCTTTTATAAAAAATAAAAATTTATTGTTTAGGGTTTCATATCAGTGATTTCGACCTGAAACTGTCTAATGTAGGACACAATACCAATTTAATACATACTGATCTATGGCCGTGGGAAATGCAGTGGTAGTGGCGCCATTCAATGCGGCAACGTTCTGGTTCGAGTACACTCTGGGCCGACGAAAGCGCTTGACTATTCGGGGTCGAGAAATCTGGGATCAACTGGCTACCTCTAATCCATAAAAGATAGTCCGTGTCTGTGGCGAAGATCTGGGAACCACGTAGCACTGCTCTCCTCCTACTTCACAGCGAAAAGAGTCCATCAGCATCGGTGACGTTCACAAAGACGGAAGTCGTCAGGAAACAAGAGAACCCGCATGTAAAAGGTCGAAGAGCTTTGTGGATGACGAAGTCGAGGAAACGAATCGAATGCAAGCAATGTTGAAATCCTCACCGAAGGCGTGGTGACAAGTCATGTAAAATAGAAAAAAGACAATAATAAATAAAAAGGATAAAAGGGTAAAGCTCTCGACGTTGATCAATGCATGAGGGATGCGCCATGCATTCCACCTCATTAATCATCGTTTGGAGGCGATTGAATGCATATCTGACCTTTACAATGACTCGCTGTGGCTACCGATGTACCAAACCAGTGCTGCTATCCTCCGAGACAAAGTTGGTACCAATTTGCCGACTCCGGAGGGATGGAAGGCTTGGTGAGCTATGGGCGGAGAGACCGATTCTACGTCTGTGTTGTAGGGCCCTTCCGACCATTGCGCCACAGGCGCCCTTAATAATGAATAGTGTGTCCTAGATTCCATATTTGGTCTTTTTAGATATTACATAAGGAAAATCTTTTAGTGCAAGCAAACAGCTTTTCGGTGTTCGTTTTCAGGTGTTGATTCCTAATAGTCGAAAAATTTGGGTGCCAGACACATACTTTTCCACTGGAAATGAGTTAGTGAACGGTAATCGTCAGAGTATCATAGTCGAACCATCCGGACACGTTCGTTTTTCTCAGAAGTATGTTTTCTATCCTCAGTTTCAAGTCTATTAGATGTTATAGGAAAAAAATAGCATTAGTAATCGTTGGTGAGGATGGAAGTACATTAGGACCTTGTAGAAATCCAGCTTTGAAAATGTCTTTCCGTCTCAAATATTAATTATATTCAGTTGATTTTCTGAAAAAAGTAAAAGAAGGCAGAAATTCAGTTCAGGTTCTCTTGATAAGTAACCGTGAGTTGTTAGGTTTCTGAAATACTTCACTGAATGTGCTCCATGTGAATATGATCTCTAGGCTCCGAACAGGGCGAAATCGACCGGAACCTTGTCGCTACGGAATAAATATTGCATTAATAATCTAGTGTCAGCATCCGAACTTACTAATCAATGTCGCTGTTAACAGGAAGTCACTCATAGGTATAAAAGTCTATTTTCTTCGCAAAGCTAATTTGAAAAAATAGCTCCTATAAATTTTTGCCATGTCCCGAATTTATTGAGTATTCCTGGGTGACCCATATGTTCTGAGATCTTTATGTTTATTGTACCGACATTCTTACATGACTTCTCGTTGTATTATTTCATGCAGTTTATTCCCGTACACTGCTGTCGGAAAATGTTACAGTGGTAACGACAGGTGGTCGCTGCGAGGTTCTGCCTCATGCAAGCAGATGTAGTGCTGTGAATGAAACCAAAGAGTTTAATGTGTCCATGTAACCCCTTCGCCAGGTGATGGACGACTCAACATGATCCGCATGAGTGGCCTGCCAGAGGCCATGAATTTATACCCTGCGAACTTTTCTTTGGAATTAGTTAAGAGAGCTGCTCTAAACTACTAAACTAACGACATTAAAAGATCTTGAAGGACGAAAACTTTTATGTTTTCCATCCCAGAGAAGCGTCTGGTGAAATCAGCCGATGCGGTTCTCTGGTAGTTTCAGAAGGCGATGGTGAATATCGGTGCCGACATCGAATTTTTAAAAATTCGTACTATTCACATTATTCCCATATTCATTCCTTGCAGAATTCATGTGAAGAAATTACTACCAAAATTACCAAAATTTATTATGGTAATCGTAGATAAGAAGTGAATTTTCAGTCGTAATATACATGCATACATACGAATATATACATTTATAAGTACTTATCCACGGAGATCTCTCATATGAGTTATCTCGAGCCGGTTAGTCGCGAGGTTACGTGGCGCGTCCAGAGGTGGCGGATAGGGGTTAATCGCGGACCAAAAGCGACCTTTACTTCCCTGAAACACGGGTGGATCCAAACGATGGACTCCCTGTTTCTGCTGCGCTGATTTGGCACATACTTTCTGTATTTAAGAGGCGTATTCATGCAAGCGTGTGTGGGTGTATTTTTGCTTATGCGGATTGTACTCTACGAGTCAATTCGGCCAAAAGCCTGCAATCAAGTGACTGGGAAGTATATGGGAGGCGGTTAGGAGTTGCCTCCAACAAATAAACTCTAAGTCCACTCTGGGAGAGCCTGGTAAGCTCCGTGAGTACACCCAGCCCCCACCTTCAAACCCCAGCAAACTATACGTAGGTGTCGCCATGCTAAACTCAGTTAAAAAAACGAAACTCATTTTCCTAACCCCGAAAAAGCCCCAAATTTCGCAGCGTTGGGTAGGAGGAGTACGGATAGGCTGCTAAAATCTCAGTGCCAATGGAAGCTGCCTGGATTCCAAAGAACTATGGTGACGATCTGTACTTACAATGCACGTACACTTGCATCCGAGTCCTCGATAGAAGACTTGCTCATGCAAGCAAGAAAGATAAGGTACGACGTCATCAGCCTGGCCGAGACGAGACGACGCCAACCATTCAACGTCGTCTGTGACACCGAAGCTGTTCCCGGAACATGCGACAGTAGAGGAGTCGGCGGCATCGGCGTTTCGTCAACGCGAATTTTTCCAGGAACATCGATTCATTCGAACAACCTACAACTCTAACCGGACGTTTACGATTAAAAAGATGTGGACCAATACTGGCTTTGACATTCTTCGTTGTTTACACGCCGACATCAAACTATGACGAATACGAAGTCGAAGCGTTCTATATGGACTCGGAGAAGTTCTACAGAGAAGACCGTACATTGTTCAGAGTCATTATTGATTATTTTAATGCCAAGATTGAACCAAGAAGAAGGTCTGAAGAACGTCACATTGGGTCCTACGGATTAGAGTGGAACGTTTAGGGTGACCTGCTGTCTGAGTTTATCATGACGACGAAGACCATCCGTGGTGACTCGTAATTGCAGAAGCCCCACCCTCAACTCTGGACGTAGGAATCTCCCAGTGGAGAGTACCACAACGAAACAAATCACATCATTGTAAATAGAAGGTTCTGCCTAACTAGCGTTGGTGTTGTCCCAAAATTCTACACGGGATCAAACCACCGCCTCCTTCGTGCAAGATTCCATTTCTCGCAAAAAGTAGAAAAAGTCGCTAAATTCAAAAACCGAAGTCCCAGAACCACTATAAACTGGGACTTATTTAATTCATTAGTCGGCTGTTGGGAAGATGCCGTTGTCGATAACATCGACGAAGAATACGATCGGCTCATTTAACATCTTCACGTTAGCGCTGTAAAAGCTGAGACTTCGAAAGTCACCAAGAGACGTCTGTGTCCAGAAACTCTCGACCTGATACGCCAACGTGGAATCGCATGGGCTGCAGGCAACCGCGAACTAACGTCCTAACTTGCAAAACAATGCAGACAGACAATAAAAGAAGATTTTAAAGAGAGAAGAGCAGCAGTCATGATCGAAGCTGCAGAAGCTGGGGAAAGCATTTGCAAAGCTCACCGATGTTTCGCCAATTACAAAACCAAGATGACTGCACTCCGACGCCCAGACGGAACAGCTTTAGCACCCAGAAAGGCAATGGAGAAAATCATTCCCGACATGCCATTTCGTTGGTGAAAAATCGAACAGCACCAGGTCCGGAGAGGATAAGATCTGAACACTTGAAGAACCTTCCGCCAGTCCTCGTAAACACACTTGCTCGACTCTTAACACGTTACCTGACTGAATTCAAGGTCTCTACTCAGTGGAAAACGAGCAAGACCGCATTATTTTTCAGGAAAGGTGACCTACACAATATCCGCAACTATTGTTCAATCTGCTTGCTACTTATCGTCTACAAACTTTTCACTCGAGCCTAAACAGGATTGACAGAACAATGGACGAAGGAAAGTCATGTGAGCAAGCAGGGTTTCGAAAAGGATTTAGTACAATGGACCACATCCATACGATAACAAGGCTCACTGAAGCATCGCGAGAGTACAAAAGACCACTTTGTCTCGCTTTCATCGATTTAAAGAAGACCTTTGACTCAATTGAGGTAGAAGCAGTCATGGAAAGCCTTGATAGTCAAAGAGTACCTGCTCAGTACATAATGATTCTTCTTGACTTGTACAAAAATTTCACAACAAAGATAACGGTATTCTACAACAGTAATATCATTGATGTCAAAAGAGGGGTTAGGCAAGGCGATACCATTTCGCCAAAATTGTTCACCGTCACCGTCGAGAATGTAGAGCGAATGTTGGAATGGGATAATATAGGAGTCAAAATCGATGGTTGGCAATTACACCATGTGCGCTTTTATGATAACATCGTCATTATAACACCAAACATTAGTGAAGCGGAACGAATGTTGGCCGATTTTGATAAAACGTGTGGAAACATTGGTCTTCGATTAAATCTCATAAAAACGATGTTCATGAGGAACGGATTGGTTTCGCATGCTCCATTCGCGCTCAACGGAACGATCATCTCCGAATGCTCCAGTTATGTCTATCTAGGTAAGGAAATCATCATGTTGAACGACTTGGCTCCAGAGCTGAGCAGAAGGAAACGAGCAGCTTGTGGAGCTTTAAAGAGCATCGAAGATGTAGTGAAGAGAACAAGGAACATCTGACTCCATGCCCACCTTTTCGACTCAACGGTACTTGCTGTCCTAATGTATGCGTCAGAAACCTGGTCGCTGCGTAAGGAGGATGATGGATCACTCATCGTTATTGAACGCGCAGTCGAAAGGACGATGCTAAGAGTATTCCGTTTCACACAAGTAAGGGATGGGATCCGAAGCTTCGACCTGCGTCAACGATCAAAAATCAGGGATGCCTATCTGTACGCCAAACTGTCGAAGATAAGGTGATACGGAAACGTAATTCGTATGAGTGACAAGCGATCGAGAAGAGCCGTTAGTGACTGGATTCCTCGCGTGTCAAACGCACTGCCGGAAGACCACCTAGTATAGTATAATATAATAATATAATAAACCACTGGACTGCTCTTCTATGCGACGGGTAAAATTGGAAGATTTACTAGCGTCTGCTCGAGTTACTCGACCATCGATAAGAGAATAGGTGACACAGGTTATACATATATATATATATATATATACACATATATATGTACATACATATATATGTATATGTATATATGTATATATAACGCCACCTGTGTTACCTATCGATTCCGATATATAAATATGTATATATATACATATATATACATATATATGTATATATAACGTCACCTGTATCACCTATCGACTCCTGAAGATCGCTGCTTAATCCCTGAAGAATGCGCCATGAATTCGACTTCATTAAGCAATGTTGGAGACGATTAAGTGCACATCTGGCCTTTACAATGACTCGCGATGGACTACCAATGTATCGAGCTAGTACTGCTGTTCTCGCAGACAAGTCTGGCAACAATTTGCCAACCTTGGAAGGTTGGAAGGCTTGGTGAGCCTGAGACACGGTTATTGATCGCATGTGTATTGCAGTGCTCCTCCGACCACTGCGCTACATGCGCTCATGTATGTATGTATGTACGTATGTATGTATGTGTATGTATGGATGTGTGTAATGTATATATATATGTATACATATATATATATCGCATAATGAAACGTCTTTTAGCTAAGGTTATCTGCGTGACCCAGTCTTCACAGATTCCGCTTGATTACCTCCAATACAGAAGAATGTAAATATTTGTATTGAAGTTTATCACATTCGATTCCACATATTGACCCCCTAAGCACGTAGGTGCGATACATGGACGAGGATTTTTTTTGATTCAGCAGAGCATCTGGTCTGGATACGGAGTAGGATCGGGGATAGCTCGCAATAGTCGTCGCTTTCAGCCTTGAACTTGTTACCTCTCCTGAATTTACCTACTATGAAACGCGCCATATTTGATGAGAAGGCGAAATCACCTAAACATCAGCTATTGCGAAAGAAAAGTTGCTGTAATGAAGACTTCACCTTTGTCCATCAAGAAACCATGGATTATTGGTCAACGCTGAGCCTAAGAGAATGTTCCTACATGTGTGTACCATCAAATATGGCGCGTCTCATAGTAGGTAAAGTCGGAAAAATGTTTGGGTTGCTGTATGTCATTGTATCATTGTAATCCGGTTAATTGTAAATGGAAGAGAAGGTTATAACTAGTTATAATTTCTTCCATACTTGCGTTCCACCGACGACATTGTCATCTTTTCGAAAGGTAAAATCTGTGATCAACGCATAATAAGAAATGTAGTTTCGATTACACAGCTTTTTTAGTGCTAACTGCAAATAAGTACAGTTGAACACTTTAAAGTCTCCCAACGGCATACCGCCTCACCGTGGTTGGAGGGCGTGTCTGGGTGTCGGACTACGATGTACGGCGGGTGATTAATCCTCTGGCAAGGTCTCCCAAGCTGAGGAGTCCGATGTTTCCATCAAGAAGCCTAGCTAAGAGTAAACCAATACCAGGATCCACCACTGTCTGGTATCAAAGTCGCATGGTGGCAAATTTCCCTTTGATCCACAAAGGCTGTGACTGCCTGTGGTGGTGAAGACCTAGGGCAGACTTCGGCCAGGCTGACCTCAGGCTTCCGCAGAACCGCAATGCCTTAATCAGCAAATCTTGGAAAAATGGAGATCATGCGGAGGCCTGCACAACCAGTGAGGACGGGTTATTCAAGTATCAAGTAATTATCAAAAACACTTTAAATATATTCGCCTAAAGAAAATCCATGAGGAAAATGTGATTACCAGTCTAGAAATGTGATCTTATATAAATTTTGGATCAATTCTAAAGATATAAACAGCTGATGATTTCAAATAGCACTGAAAGCACCACTTTAATTTCGACTTTTTCTAACTGGTTAGTTCTATTACTGTAGCTGGTTTCTTTTAGAAGAAATGTGGACGTCTCGGTGACATACGGCAACTCGTTTCCATTCCTTAATCGGAGATTGTTCACACTTCGTCTTTCAAGTTGTAAGTACTAGCACAGTATCACGAGTGCAAGCAGCCTGATCACTTGGCCACTATTACGCCCATAAAATCATTTCCTTGAGGATATTCACACAAATTTGAACAGTGGCATCATGGTGCAGATCTTATGATTTTGAACCTTTCAATTTTCTGAGTATCTTTTGTTCAACAAAAACCACTCCAGATGTTTATCCGCTTGAAGATGTTGTTTATTTGTGGGCTAATTCGCCTCCACTCGTTAATCCAGTCGAAGTGAGTTTCTTTCTTTAT